ATAGGATATACTAGACTATAATCTACTGGATAGGCTAGGCTAACAGGGGGCCCTATATCTATCTTAACAGATAGAGACTATAAATCTATAGGAATTGGGCTGCTTAGAATAGACAGATTCTAATCAGGATAATCAGGATAATATCTATTATACAGTAACTTTATAGGATTCTTATTCTAGCACTGGTATTATTTATATCTCTCTACAGAGCCATCTAAATACTGGTCTAATATATATTAATAATATCCTATCCTAGATATAATATCTATATATTCTGTCACTAACTTAGTATCCTGGGAATTTTTATTAAATCTCTAGTATAGACTCTCTAGCTAGATAATAATTGCCTTACTGATATAGTTATTCTAGCCAGCATGCCTACTTTCCTGTGTATAATCTAATAATAACTGGGGGCTCCTGATATAAATAATATACCAGATATCCAGAATATTAATATCTATATCTAATACACTGATAGTAGTAATTATCTGGATAGTACTCTATATAAATTATTATAATATTAATAGCTTATCAATCTACTGGCTATAATATATCTTATACTATAATACCTGGATAATCTTGACTATCTAGTAAATTATATTAGTATAAATAATTATCTTATTCTAGGATATCTATATAATTTACTACTAAATAAATATAATTATAGTCTTAGCTATAAACTACTTAGAACTGCTGTAGACCCTGGATAGCTACTATATCTAGTATACCATGTTAGAATAACTTATATAGGCCTGGAATATGCTAATCTAGTTACAGGTATACTCCATCCGCTGCAATAATATAGTCTCTAATATAGAAAATAATATAGTAGTCAATAACACTATCTATATATAGATATAATTTAATTATTCTAACTGCTATAATTCAGGCTGGAAATCCTGCTGGTTATTTAATATTATATGGTATTTATTGATCATAATCCGGTCTAACTGCCGGGTCTGCTATAATCAGTTAATAAACATGTAGAAATTGTCTGTAACCGCGGACTCAGATATAACCAACATAATTATGGCTTTATCAGGCAGTTAACAGCTCTCCTATACCATACATGATATGCCTAACACCTGGTATTATCTTATTATATCACTGCATAATGTGAGTAATAGCACTACCATAATGATTATCCTGCTGGGCTCTATAAATACAGGCAACATAAATAATATACTCTTGTCTCCCCTAGTAGGCATCACTGCCATCACTGGGCTCTCACTATCCTGGATAGTCTATAACACTGGGGCCTGCATCTCCCGGAACTGGATAGTCTTCTGCCCTGTTATCTGCTGCAATATGGCTGTTATATCCATAGTATTCAACTGGTACTGCTGTATAATCCAGCCCTGGTCAGTCTTATCCTCCCACAGGGACTGCTTCTATTTACCGGCTGCCTTAACAGAGGCCCTGTCTATAGTAAATCCCAAAAATCAATGCTAATCTGTACTGAATAACTGAAATATAGCCCAGTGCTGGGCAGTAGTCCCGGGATGCTTTATAATATTCTGTATATATATTAACTCTACTGTGTAGGGAAAATATATAGCCTGCTTATCCACAATAGTCTTTATCCATTAGTCCTTGTCTATATTATACTTAGGCAGAATCTTAGGGACTTTTTTCTCTTATATATTACTGGGAAATACACTGCTGGACTATATTTACTGCCAGCTAATCCTGATAATAATCTTCTAGTATATCTGGATATTGACTATATACTGTAACTATATCTTGGTCTTGTACTTTAATATCTTGTGGAACTGTTTGGATATCTATGCCCAGTATATGCCGGGATCAGGGCCTTAAATAAATACAGATATTAATACTGGGACTTTAGATATTAATACTGGCAGAGAAACTAATATTAATACTGGAATTACTGATATTGATACTAGAGATTCAGATATTACTGCTGGTAGGGATACTGATATTAATACTAGAGATTTAGTTATTAATACTAACAGGGAGACAGATAACAGTATAGATAGAGATATAGATAATATTAGATAATAATACCATATCTCTAATTACTGGATAAATAGTAATATTAATTATAAATATTATATAATCAGCTTACTGACTTTCTATAGCATATATTAACTGATAACCTTAATATTATTACTGGTATAAAATCTCTTATAATATACTGATACTAATATAACTATACTATTCTTAATAAATATATTATACTGCTAGTTAGTCTCTGTATTGATATACTGTAAGCTTAATAACTCCAGGATCCAGCTAGGCTGCCTGCCCATAATATATATAAGCATAGCCAATTTCTTCCTGAATCAGGCTATCTACTATAAATACTGCATGACTAACTGCAGCTGGAACTGTATAGACTGGCAGCAGTAAATAAAATGTGCCTGCATGTCAGGCTTAGCCCAGACCTGCTCCATGATCCACTGTGGGCCCTCTACCAGCTATTAGATATATTAATCCTGCAAAAAGCTCTATCCCACAGTACTCTATATAGGATTATTGTATAACATGTACCACAGAATAGTAGAGGTCTTATTAAATATTAATTCCCGGCATAATATCTGCTGGATGACCCTAGTTAATCCATATATAAATCCCTGGAAATTGCCTATAGTAAACTGGATATATTTATATAACAATCAGTCCAGTTATATCTATATTACATATCCAGGGATTGTGGTATTATAATAGATATACAATCTATATATCTACTAATCCTACAATATCTCTATCAGTATATATATACTGCAGACTATTAACTGGCTAACTATTTATATTATCTGCTCCTGGAATGTCTTGCGGGATAGATTCTGGCTTTACTGGATCCAGGATATAGAATCTCTATACTGTATAGATAATATTAATAGGGATAATAGAGATTTATATTTATTCTTTATTCTATTATTATATACAGAATTAGCCTTAATATTATCTATAGCTATAGCACTGTGTAATATCTATTTAGTACAATTCTATAGCTTCTGCCATATCTCAATAATTGCCAGTATATCAGGATCCAGCTATAATACCTTCTGGATAATTATAAACCAGGCAATCTTAATTATCTAGGATAAAATTAGCAGATAGCTCTTGGGATCCTGCTAGCTAAACTTCTCTTAGCCCAGTATAGCTATAGTATATACCAGTATACTCTTATACTTCTAGATATAGTATATCTGGTTTATTAGCTTAATATAAAACTCTAAATATATCTACTCTATATTACTTATTATTTACTGCTTATATTCAGGATTATCCTTCCCGGAATCTCTCTTCTATTTCTCTTTCTCAGTAAGGAAACCTGCAGTAGCTATTTACTATAGCTGCTGCTATTTCTTCTGCTATTATAGTATTATACTATATAGTGGACTCTTCTCTATATACAGTATCTGGATACAGATAATAAATACCAATATTTACTGCTATAGCTAGATATACTTGGCCATACTGTCTATATCTATATATACTAGCAATAAATAATATAGGATCTGGCTCTTCTCAGACTACACTGCTTTAATCTAGATAGCTTGTCTGGTATACTACATGGTCTACTGGCTCTTATATACTATATCTTCTATGGCTGCCTATATCTGCTATATGTCCTGCTCCACAGGATTATCTATATTAGGTAACAGGGTAGCTACCATGGCATGTAATATCTTGAAATTGCTGGAGATAGTGAACTCCTGTAAATACTGGGTCTATCTAGTCACCTGTAACCATAAGTTGGCATCACAGATCTCTCCAGTTCTAGTTAAACTGGTCTAGATCTTCATTATCTTCTATACTGCAGTTATCTACTGGATCACCTGGTCTATCTGCTTTATATATACAGGAATATACAGTTCTTCCTTATGGCCTCTATATATATAGATATAATAGGATCCTTTACAGGACAGGAATATCTACTAGTATATTATAATAATATATAACTGCTATAGCTCTATTTTCTAGGATTATTACTGCTTATATATTATTTAGTTCTCTCAGATATGCTAGGACTATCTATAGACTGTCTGCTAGTAATTATATATACTCTTTAAGCTCTGTCTAATATACTGATAGCCGGAATAATTATAGTAATATAATAACCTATCTAGATATATAGATAGTTTAGGAAATACCTGATTAATCTGATAGAGAATTTTAATATTCTTTATATATAGGATAATATTCTTCTACTACTAGATTATATACTGGATCTAGACCGCCTCAGCATGTTTCTTACTGTAGACTGTACTTTTGATATAGTATATAATCTTATTAGACTATATACCATACTGATATGTTTTATAAATAATTATAGATAATCTATTCAGCTTCTGAAATATTAGGTATTCTATAGACAATATTAATATAGATCCTGTATAGAAAATAGATAATAGAAAATAAAATAGAAAGTCAATAGAATTAAAAATAAGTAATATAAAATATATATCTTAATACAGGATATTATTACCCCTGATTTAATATAGAATACAGTTAACTGATTATCTTTAAATACAGAATCTGAAACAATAGACGCCATTACAGGTATAATATAAAATAGAAATAATAATACTGGATTTACTGTATTAACTAGTAAATCAATACTATATTATATCTATTATTCTCTTGCTGGATAAATCTAGTCTGGAATAAAAATATAACCTGGATAGGTTCTACTGGAGCTACTGATATTACTGGACATGATTATAGATAATTAACAGAAATCTACAGCCAGTTAGGTCTTACCCTAATAAACTTTAAATAGAATACTATAGACCACTTTAATCCATTACTACTACTGTAAACCATAGGATTTTGATCTAAAAATTTGCTAACTATAAATTTCAGTAGTGATCTCTAATCTATATTAATTTCAACCAGATCAGCCTTATGATTGAGTTAGCATCATACTTAAAGTGCTTCAATCCATGATACTTGATCGGGAAAAAACCCTAACCCGCTCCGCCAATCTGCGGCCGCCGTCAGCTCCACTTCACTCCATACTTCTATGAATGCCGACCCCTTGTGGACTAGGGTTGCCGCAGTTGCGGTATAATTATGTATGCTGTGCTCTTCATTAAAAGATGATGTTGGGGTTGCGTGGCATGTTCGTAGCTAACTAGTGGTTGCAGCCTACAGAGAAGCATCGACCGGGGAATAGCACGCAGAGATTCAGACCCGGTATGTTTACCACAGATTCAGCAAGTCTACGAGAGAAGATACTGACAGAAAGAGCAGGCCCAGCACCGGTCCACAAACTCGGCCACTTTGGGCTCTGCGTGACCGATTTCGCACGCACGTACGAGTTCTTTACGACCAGGTTCAACTTCAAAGCCAGCGATGTACGCCCCCCTCCAATATTTGCACAGCCTTACACAACATACTGATATTCGCAGCTCGTCCACACCAAAGAGGGCAAAAACATCACGGTATTCCTCCATCTGGACCGTGGTCGAGAACTAGTTGACCACCACTCGTTCTTCTTCTTTGAGGGTCCCAAATGGCATGTTCATCACTCGTCCTTTGAAACTCACGACTTTGATACCCAGTTGCTGGGACATCATTGGTTGCGGGAGAAGGGGTATAAAAACTGCTGGGGGGTTGGTAGGCATATCATGGGGAGTCAGATATTTGATTATTGGTACATGCCCCTTCTTGCTTTTCTTTTGCTCCGGCTCCGCGGTGTTGAGTCGAAATGGGTTTCGTTGCTTTGTCTGACTTGGTACCTTTTCCAGGTTCGATCCGTCGGGGTTCGTTGTCGAGCATTACGTCGACGGGGACTTGGTGGATGAGACGCATCCGGTGAATCGGTCTCTGGCTTCACCGGATAATCTCCATGTCTGGGGTAAATTTTCCATTCAAAGAAGTGATGGCAGATTTCGATTCTTGCTGACGAATCTTATAGGTCCTGATCTTCCGGAGGGATTCCTGGAGTAGAGAGTGGAGCTTAGCTAGCTTATACGTATTGATTTTTGTGATTTCTACTATTAACACGCAAACCGCAAACAATGGTATTCTATATGATTCTTAGATGACACCTGAGTGAATATCTCTTTTCTGTAGAATCTAGCAACTGCATGTCCAGATGTTCTCGTTTGATGCCAAATGATACGCCGAGGACCTGAATTGAATTGCACCGAAGTTGCTCCAGATGCTCCGACGGTAACGTTATACCAAACCTTGGAAGAGGCCCCCACACGGCGGACCCTTCACCCGGGGAAACTATCCGGGGCGTCTGGGGCCAGTGTGCACTTTCCGGAGGAACTGCGGATATATATCCACTCCTACTTATACACAATCCCAGTTCTGCCCCTACGTCCATGAACACATAGGCTCAGTATTGATTTATTCTACATTTCAGACCACATATTTCCTACGCTAGGCTACATTCACGCACACTGAACATGCAGTTTCTTTCAATTGTTCTTGCTATTGCTCTCCTCAGGGTTTTGTTGGTGATGCTCACAAAAGGCCGCAGGGAAAAAGGGCTTCCGCCAAGTATGACACGTCCTCACGGCAGTACCATGTTCTGGCGCTTCAGTGATAGGGACTGATAGGTCGTAATTTCCATAAATAGGACCGCCCACATTACCTGTCCTAGGAAACCTGCATCAGATCCCGACAAAGGGAGCTTACCTCAAGTAAGTATCAATATTCTCCCTAATCCTTCAAGGGCCCCTAAAAAAAAAGAAAGAGAGAGACATAATATGACTAAAACACTCAATTCCAGATTCACCGAATGGGCCCGCACATACGGAGGAATCTACTCGCTGAAACTCGGCACAGGCACTGCAATCGTACTGACGGACCGCGCACTCGTCAAGGAACTCATCGACCGCAGGAGCTCGAAATACAGCAACCGCCCGACCTCCTTCGTGGCACACACCATCACAGGCGGCAGCCACCTCCTCGCGATGCAATACAGTCCACTGTGGCGCACAATGCGCAAAGCCGTCCACCAGTACTTCATGGAGTCCATGGTCGAAAAATCACACATCCGCGTGCAGAATGCGGAAGCGGTCCAGATGCTACGAGATTTCTGCCTCCGGCCCGACCAGCATATGCTGCATCCGAAGCGGTTTAGTAATAGCATTATTATGAGTTTGGTCTATGGCATCCGTACCCCCTCTGTCGAGACGATACATATGAGTCGGCTGTATGAGATGATGGAGTCCTGGAGTAAGGTTATGGAGCCCGGGAATACGCCACCTGTGGATATCTACGGGTTCTTGCACTATATCCCCCAAACGTTATTTGGGAATTGGAGGTCGAGGGCGCAGGAGGTTAGTGCGGAGATGAACAAGTTGTATGCCGAGTATTTGGATATCGTGCTTGAGCGGAGGAAGAGAGTAGGTAGCGTCGGCAGCTGTCTGGATACCGCGCTCGACCAGAATGACAAGATCGGTCTCACGCGGCATCAGCTTTATTTCCTCGGTGGAGTGCTGATGGAGGGCGGGTCCGATACATCCAGCTCGATCATTCTCGCGTTCATCCATGCGATGACAAAGTGGGCGGAGGTGCTGAAAAAGGCACAGGCCGAGATTGATGCCGTCGTCGGCGAGCAGAGGACGCCCGTGTGGGCGGACTACGACAAACTGCCCTATGTCGTTGCCACGGTCAAGGAGGCGATGCGATGGCGGCCTGCGGTGCCCTTGGCTTTTCCGCATGCTGCCGCTGAAGGTGTGTAACAGATCTACTTTGTTTTTATCTGTCTAACTTCGAGGAAGTACTAACTTTTTACCTAGATGACTGGATCAACGGCTACTTCATCCCAAAGGGCACAACGATGATAGTTAACGGCTGGGGCCTGCACCACGACAGCACACGCTTCGCGAACCCGGATGTCTTTGACCCAGACCACTACAAAGGCGTGACATCGCTCGCCTCTGAGCTCGCCGGGTCCTCCGACCCCAATGCTCGCGATCACTACGGCTACGGCACAGGCCGACGTATCTGCCCGGGGATCCACGTTGCAGAGCGGAACCTATTCCTCGCGATATCAAAGATCATTTGGGCTTTTGATATCGAGGCCGGAACTGATGAAGAAGGAAACGCCGTTGAGCCGGACTTTAACCCAGAGACTGGATACAGTGAAGGGTTTTTGGTGTGTGCGAAGGATTTCAAGTGTACCATTCGGCCGAGGTCAGAGGTGAGGAGGGGGACTATTATGAAGGAGTTTAGTGAAGCACAGGAGCAGGTTTTCGCGGGGTATGAGTGTCCTTGATGTGATGATATCTAATCTATCTTACCTATATAAGGAATGTGTCATTTCCAGGGTAGATTAACGCGACCTGACATGATATGTGCAATATTGTGTGATACTTCGCCCCATCCCCACTCATAGTAAGTATCCAATAGGCGTGACGTGAGAGGTATGGCTATTTGTCTTCTCTTTCCTTCACCTCTCCTATATATAATCTGCCTCCTCTTCGATATTCTTTTTTTACCTCATCCGCTTCGGAACACGCAAAGCCCAATCCATCCCCACCGCAGCAACAACATTAAACACACAAAACGCCCACATAAGCCCGAAATCACGCCACCGGTTCCCGAAATGCATGCTCATACCTTCCAGGAATGCATCGGAGGTAGCCGTCCCGCAGAAACTGCAGCTGCTGCTGTTGTAGGTGACAAGATACCCGCCCTTCTCGATGATGTACGGCGCCATGTATTCCGCACATGTGATGTTGCTTGGCGCTTCATTAGGGTTACATTAGGCTAATGTAACCCTAATGTAAACCCTAATGATGTTGCTTGGCGCTTCGAAGTAGACGAATTCATTCGCCGTGCAGGTGACAGGCGCACCCGCGAGGGCCGTACCAAGGAAGCTTTCGATCACGTAGGTAAATGGGTTCACGCGGTACATGAAGATCCAGAAGCCCGGGAGGTCGGAGGGTCCGGCGAGGACGCTAGAGAAGCCGAAGAAGACCCAGAGGCGCAGGCCGTCCGCACGGCGTTGCGGTAGAGGCCCAGCGGGAAATATCAGAAGCGGAAGGAGATAGGCCCATTAGCTAAGATGTACCAGAGCTTAGGGTTAGCTATAGTGTAGAGAGCAAGTATGGGGTGGTGACTCACCAAATTCCACGCCAACTCAACGATGACATTCGCCGCGAGAAAAAAGGCCCACGAGTAGGCTTTGGCAGGACGCTCTCGCGCCTCGTAGAGAGTGCGTTGGGAGACGAACATGGGTAGGATTTGCTCGACGACTTAGCTGAAGATGAATAGGAAGATGTATGTTGCGAGCATTTTGTTGAAAAGGCCGCGTTGCGAGATGTCTTGGTTGACCCGGGAGAGACCGATGAATAAGGCCTTATATGTGTTGCTGTTAGCAGAATTTTTAGAGACTGAATCTCAGTACAAGGAATTGGCCTTAAGAACTATTAGTAATATAGTTAATATATTATATTTTCTGGCTGCTAGATAATAGATATTGGCTCAGAGTATGGCTATAAGGAGGGCAGAAGGATTTCTTAATATTATAGACTATAGTCTATCTTACAGTATACTAGATATATGGTGTTAGTTTAAGCTCTATCTACTATAATAGTGGAATAGTTAGCTATTAGTTAAATAATAAATATATATTCGCCTCTGGAGCTAAGTTCCTACTGGTAAGCTGACAAAGAACTGCAATATTAGTCTCTTGAATATATATATATTTACTTTTAGGAACTCAAAATCTACTTATAAGTTGGCTGAGGATATTATTTATACTAAATAGGCAATTACTACTATTAAATAACTATTCAGGTATTCTGTATGGCTTGCTAAGTTATTATAAGAGTCCTACTATGAAGATCGAGCCTTCAGTTCTGTATAACAACAAAAACAACAGCAGCAACAGCAATAATAATAGACGGGTCTATTACTATTTTGGGTGCTCCTTTCAACCTTAAATTATTATATTGGAATCAGACTTATCTGCTAATATACTCCAAATAAATGCTATATTTCACTTTTTTAGAAAGCATAAATAAAGAGATAATTATAGACCAACTGTATATTACACTGCACCACACTATATGTCACGGTTAAACCTTAGGCTTAAGGCAGGATGACAAGTTGCGATACTATATATACCGCGCCTGGGAGATCAACTCCGATCGGAGTTGATCATAGTGGATCTTTTTACCTAGTGGAAAGATCTAATGTATTGAATTACTAATCCCAGGAGTAATCCTTTACACTATATAGTGAGTGCCCTTTCTTGCAGGATCTGTTATATCTAACTTAGAAGAAGAAGGCAATTATCCTTAACTGCGGATTATATCACTAAATAGACATGCTTATCTTAATATAAAAGATCTCTATAATCAGATCTCCTATACTGATCTTACTAAGATAAACTTTTCTCAGAATCTATTTAATACTGACCAGCTCTATTCTTTACCATAAGTTATCTATATCTAGCAAGATCCTGTCAAGGTCTACTATTTTTATATTAACTTTATTTAAGATAGTATTATTCTTATAATGTAGATTTTGTACACTGTTATTGATAGCACCAGAGTAACTAAGTATATAAAGATCTTTATTAATAATCTTTATAAAGCCTATACAAGCGAAATCAGACATTCTTTATAAATAACCAATAAGAAATAGATCTCAGATTGGACTGCCTTAGTCTCAGGCAAGGCCAGAATAGGTGCCATAGAGAACTATCTTGCTTTTATAGCTTCTGTATTCGCTCACGGCAATATCACAGGGATAGAATAGACTTATAGAACCTTTTATATTAGTTATAATACTCTAGTAGAGCTAAAGAAGGCTGCTTCTCCTGCATTCCCTTATAATACCAAGGGCTGGATCTCTACTAGTAATATAATTACTGCACTGATCTGGTAAAGTATTTTGGTTGCTCAGTATCATGCAGGAGCCCTTCCCGTTGATACTGTTACCAAATTTACCCAATCAATTGACTGCCGTAAGGTACTTAAGCTACCTAATCTGTACTTGGGAAATATATTCTACATTATATAGAGTGATATGCCATTTGATACACTCAGGGATCCGCAGACCGGTCTCTGTACCGCTGCCTATATTCTGTGTGCGGACATGAAAGCCGTGACAGCCGACAGGATTCGAGATCTGGTTACCTTTATAGAGAGAATCAGTCTAGAGAGCCACACCCGCCTGAGCTTCCAAGAAGATTTGGCCTTGTCTACTATCATATATACCAGCCATTTCAAGTTCAATATCCACGAAATAAACTTTGGTCCGGCTTTTGGTGACGGTCGTGTCAAGGCCTTTCGCCATCCGGCACGAGGCACGATAATAGGATCAGTGATCGTGATGCCAATATGTTCAGATGGTTCTTGTGAATTCATGATTACAGAGAGCCGATACTCTGAGACATCTCGAAATGGATGATTTGTGGACTCCTTATACAGGTAAGCAAAACAGTTTGAAGGTTTTCGGTCGTACGGCCCTAAGTTGGACCGGGAGCTCGATTGTGTCTACGTCAAGGCAAGTCAGAGCCAAGTGAGAGCTGTCATCATCGCCAGCACAAACAACAATGTCTTCTGCGCTGGAGCGGATCTTAAGGAGCGGAGCAACATGAGCGGTAATGAGACTATGGAATTCTTAACAGAGCTCCGCCGCGTCTTCTCCAAGCTGGCATCGCTGCCCATCCTATCGATTGCTTGCGTATCCGGCTTGGCGCTCGGCGGCGGTTTGGAACTTGCCCTCTGCTGCCATCTCCTATCTGCTATCTCCATTGCCTGCTTTGCTACCAGCATCTGGGCTATCTTGACCAGTGTAGACAGATATGTTGTATAGTAGTTTGGGTCCTGAAAGTTAGAATATTCAGGATTAATGCCTAGAATAGCAAGAAATCCTATAAGTATGCTTTTGAAAAGATCACCCTTGAGGGAATGATTAAGCAGGGCAATGGAGAGAGCCAGACAGGCCTGATCTAGTTAATATTCAAGAACCTTGGTCTTTTGCCACGCCTCAGGGTTATTATCAGTTGGCTGGCTCAGAAGCTATGTACTATACTCCTCTATCTGGTCCAGCGCTGCCAGCTGAGTGGTGGTAAGCTGATAGTGTAGGATAATCTGCTGGTCTAGACGGGTACTATGGTAGGTGAAGCAGATCAGCCGCTGTCACATCTGCCGGTATTGTTGATAGGTGGACAGGCGGGGATAGATCTGAATCGGATAGTTCTACATACCGGGCCGGCGGAAGAACGTGTTGATCTGGATCTGATCAAATTTATTGGTCCGGTGGCTGGAGATAGTATTATAGGCATGGTGAATTAGCCGCTCTACGCTCTGGACAAAGAGCACCAGCAGTGATTCCTGAAGGCTACCAGGTATAGATCCCAGCAAGGCCACGGAGGCAAGATTATAGCCCTGCAGGTACTCCGGCTAACAGATTAATTCTATCTATAGAGATACTTTACTTAGATATTTCTCCATGGGAATATACTGTTTCTATACTGTCTAGGCAAGCTAATCTTGCTTATATTCCTGATTAATCTAGCTCTAGATAAACTTAGCCTTACTTATCTGGGCAGTATTCTTGGCTCGCTCAGCCTGAACTGCAGGCATGATAGAGAAGAATTAGCTACCTGCACCTGCAATATAAAATTACTGGTAACTAACATGCTCAGTAGTTACCGCTAGATTAGGTTTTTTATAGTAGCTGCGGCGACCCTGTAGTCGCTGAGCATCGGGATGGATCAACCGATATGCTTCCGGATAGTATGGAAGTACCGACCGATATAGGGACAGAGAGGACAACGCAATCCAGAATAGACCGGGAGATATGGGAGGCTATCGGGTGGGGAAAACCGACTGGGCTCTTTATGGGGCTCAATCCACAGTTTCTTAAGCATCTCAGTGAGAGCCGCATGGCGAAGCTCCGCGATTTTGGCTCAGAGATGCTGTCGATGATGGGTGCGGAGATGCCGGTCCAGATACCATGGAGTGACCGCATAATGGCAGCTGGTACAGACAAAAGAAGTACCATATCAGAGATTCATGTAAAATGAAAGAAAAGAAAGAAAGAAAAGAGAGAAAAGAGCACATAGACGCGTCTCTTGTGATAGAGGTTATCTGAAGAAAAAGTAAATATATATGTACTACTGTACCATCGTAACGACTACAACGACACGACTACTACGTGGAAATAGGAGAGCAGGTAGGATAGAGAATAGAATAGGATAGAACAAAAGAAAAAGGGAATAGATTAGAAAGGGGGGGGGCCCTGTGGACACACGCACATGAGACAGGCAGGAGCACGCACGCGGCGGTAAAATACGGGAATGAATGATGATGATGGAATCGGTCCCCCCCCCCCCACACATGGCTAAGATAAGATAAGATAAAGAATTGGACGCATCAGCGGGCGAGAAAATGAGATGAGGGCTGGGTACAGGGCGCACTAGGGAACAAGGTGTTTTGACCAAAAGCGTTTTGGACCCTCTCTTTTTGCTTGATTTTTGATATTCCACCAATCTCATGATCAAACTTGGCTTCTGACCGGAATCAATTTTTCTAATATGTAGCCTCAATCTGGTTTATTCCCGGCTACAAGGGTGCTCTAGGTAACTTTAGAAATAAACCATCATTCAATAATAGGTATTCAAACAGGTGTGAATTGGTTCACACTGTTCCGCTACATTCTTGAGAAGCTTTATCGCTCTTTATACCATGGACATTGGTCCGGTGAAAAGAACAAGTCTCAGGGGTTGTAGGTGTTGATCTGCTCCGGCTGTCGCATCCCGCCCAGCATCCACCGCCAGTGCTTGACCAGATTGCTCGTGTTCAGTGCAACCAGCTTACTCGTCGGCATCAAAAACAACTCGTCAATCTCCTCCAGCGTCTTGTCTTTCGTCTCGGGCATGCAGAACAACTGGTAAACGAAGCCTAGCGCGGCTAGCCCGCCGAAGAAACCGATCGTCAGGCCGGTGTAGGTCATGGCCTTCTGCATCCCCTCGAAGTTGTATGTCACGATGAATGACCACAAATAAAGGAATACAGAGCAAATTGCCATTCCTTGGCTGCGGGTGTTGAAATCAAAGCTCTCCGCTGGAACCACCCAGGTCAGGCACGAATACGCCCCGAAGAACGACATGTACAGCACCAGGCCGGAGAAAAACAACCCCAAGGCAGTTGCTCTGTGCTCATTGAAGTAGTCAACACCACTGTTTGTATATAGATAGCCGACACCGACCAGCACCAGGCCGACGATAAACATGAGGATATTTTGTGCCCACACGCGTCGGCCGAACTTGTCCATCGTGAACACGGCAGGAATTGTTCCCAAGAACAGCGCGCCGCCCCCCACCATCGACATCAGCACTGACTCGCGGTCGTCGAAATTCATCTTGGCCATCAAGTTCGACATGTTGTACATGATCGCATTGATACCCGTCATCTGTCCGAAAAAGATCATCGCTGTGGCGTAGACAAGCGCACGTCGGTTGCGCGGATGCCTGACCACTTCCAGGTACCTGTGGTACCATGGCTCGCCTGCGGACTGGTCGACATCCTGTTTGACCGCCACTTCCATCGCGATGTACTCGTCCAGGCTCTTCGGGTCGGCCATATCGCGCAGCGACTTCCACACCTGCCATGCGCGCCCGGACTTGCCCTTGGATGCCAGCCAACGCGGTGATTCCGGCAGGAAGCACATACCGACCAGCAGGATCGTTGAAAACAAGAGGGATGAGCCGAGCATCCAGCGCCAGCTGCCTGACTTTACGTCGAAAAATACACCGCCCGCAGCGTATCCGATGATCTCTCCGAATGCGATCATCAGCTGGTACACCGACACCAGGTTACCGCGCACCGCTGGCGGCACACACTCCGAGATATAGATACCGACACAGCCGCCTTCGATTCCGATACCGATGCCGAGGATGAATCGGCCTGCGAACAACATTGCCACACTGCGGGAACCCGCACAAAGTCCTCCCCCTAGTGTGTACCACAAACACGAGATGATAATAGAGTTGCGGCGTCCAAAGTAGTAATTCAGCGGCGTCATGAGGAGGGCACCAGCCATTGCGCCTAGTGGCATCAGGGAAGAAATCAGGGAAATGTCGGTCGCCAGTTTCGGGTCGTCCAGGCTCGCCCACTCGCCCGATGCGATGAAGTGCTTGCGGATACCAGGCAGCGCGCCAGAGATCACTGACTGATCTAATCCACTCAGCATGCCGCTAAACGCTGCGAACACACCCAAGGTGACAACTAGCATGCGGGGACTCTTCATTTGCACTGGTATCTGCGCGAACGCCACCCGGTCATACAGTGATTCATTGTCAAGATACTGGTGGCTCTGCAGGTCGCGTGCCTCGATCTCGTGCTGACGCTCCTCGGGCGTAAGTTCGTCGATGAACTCTTTGCCCACGGCGTCGGGCTTTTCAACATAGTCGTCGCCCATTTTGTGTCAAAGCAACCATATAAGAAAGCTTGCGTGAGATCAGAAAGGGAAAAACCAGGAAGGGTGGGACCCCAATGTCTTCTATATAAGGGCTGTTTGGCCAAAAATTTTGCGGGATATTGTTTTCCTCTAATTCCCCGACCTCCATGCCCCAGACCCCCACAAGACCCCATAAAACCCCAAGTCCCCGCCAATGAGATTTTTTCCTTTGATTTGCCTTGTTTCCCCCCTCGAACGTTTGTTGCATGTGTATCTAGTGTATATCATTGTGGCGTTGTGTAGGTTTCAACCTAGTAATATACATACAAGGAATGCTGCGTATCATGCCAGCACTTGATGGTTGCCCAGCATCTACATGGGACGATCGAAATGCGTTTGACATCTACATACAGTACCCCAACTGAGACCGAGGGGGTTTTCTTTCAGAGCGAGAGCGGAAGGTCTCGGGGTTTAAGCCAGTTGAAGTAGGGGTCAGAAAATACAGACCTAAGCCTTTTGTTGGACCGGGAAACCACGGCCCAGAATGCCTAACTCGATCGAGTAGTTGATGAGCGACAAAGTTTCCGAATCCACTTAGCAAGAAACCTTCCCCCCACTCCATCCCCGAAGACGTTGGTCAGACAAACGGAACCGTATGGAACTGGCACAGGCAAAGTTTTCTCATACCTAATTGCCGAGCCGTACGGCTCCGTTAGACCGGGACTTAGCTGGGGTCGCCGACAATTTTTCTCCGAAGACTTCCCGACAATAAACACGAATCCGGGGAAATCGAAGCTGAGAGCGGCTGAGACGGAGCATGAACCAATTCTTTACCAATATCGACTTAACCACGTATTGAGGCCAGGTACTTCAATATCTCCATAGGGCCAGAACATGATCGTGTGGAAGAGCAAGATGCTAAAGTATTGACATAGCTTCTGCATCTAACCAGTGTATTCCCTTTACATATGGCCAAGTACACCACTTCGCAGATGATATTCCACTACGTCTAAGCTGCGGCACAGTATTGTCAGACAAACCAGACTTCAATATTTTGACTTTCGGGAAGAATTAGAAATATACAAGGTGGCAACGTAATACAAACGTCGATACATAGTCTTGCCGACAATATTCCGAGCCACATGCTAGGAGAAGCGGCTTGCCTGACACCTGTTGCGGATCGGAAACTTATCCGATGTTGGTCACAGAGAATGCAGTGCCACCATCATCCATCACTGGCAAGGTTCGTCCATGCTCATCCTGTATATTACGCAAAAAAGTAAAAACCCCTCCGAGTCAAGGTTGCCTGTAGCGAGGCAATTCCCACTTTATAAGAATTAGACTTGCTTATATTAAATCCCTCAAGAGTTGTGCTTAGTGAGTATGTTAGCTTTTCTGTGCACCGTCGGGAATCCTGCTACATCTGTCAGGATGTCGGGGATAGTCATAACTAGGTTGTATGTGAGAAATTATGGCGTGGCAGAACACTTCCTTCCCTAGTTCCGAGTGTTGATGTTATGAGGCATGGCCACAAATGGGCCCGATCCTTCGGACCAAAACCGAACTCATACAATCTCCAGGGATCGGTGGATCTGAATAGCCAAACCCCATATGGGTTTACCCATGGGGTTCCGAGTACACAGGTCATGTGCCCCTTGCCAGAAGCCACGCGCCCGCCCCACAGGACTTGGCGGACTCAACGAGGCGTCTAACCTTTTAAATACTGTTATCTATACAATGAAATTCTTTTCATTTCTTCTTTCCTCATATGTCTGTCTCCCAACAATTTTGTACGAGAAAAACAGCTTCAAAATAAGGAAAAAGAAGAGCAGGTACGAGAGAAACAAATTCAAAAAGAGGAAAAAGAACTAGAGCCCTTGGAAAGGTGGAGAAGGTTATGAAATATAAATTATGAATTATTGTAAGCAGTTAATAAATAGTTAAGCAGTACTAAATAAATGGTTTATAAATGCTTAAAACTTGTAGCTTATGGTAGTGGGTATAGAATACGTCATGTATTGAAAAGCTTAGAAGCCTCGTAATATTAACCATGAGCGGTATTGGCCATGTGCACCGCTAGGTATATCACATGACCAGTTTCGGGGCGCCCGACCTTTTGAACGAGGGCTGCTGACCTGTAACCTGTGGGGGTTCCTTACCGAAACCCATTTCTGGATTTCTTTTTTAACCAGGCCATGCCTCATGTATCTATTAGTTCCTCGTCTTCAATTATACATTGTTACATGTGTTTACCTTTGGATTACCGTGACTCATTACTTGATTATAATTTGACAACACTTACGAATAGACCAATACTCCGGTATAGATCTATTCGGCGCTCTCCCTGGCACCGTTCCTCGAATCGAAAGGACCAAGTCTGCAGTAAGGCCTGTGAGGCAACAGTACGGTTGAGAGACAGATCGTCGACATTGGACACTTGAGGAGTATTAAGGCCTGTATACCCTGAACCCTTCTAACCTAACAGTGATGCAGTGCGTAACTATTGAGACGGATTTTTGATGGGGTCGCTCGCGTGACCATGGTTCATATTTTTAACATGGATCCCGGTTACTCTTGACCACTTCTCGGAACTTCCTAAAATTAAAATTTCGGGCATCAAATTCAATAACAAAAATTAACATGAATTGACTATCTACCATACATAGGATATTTAGTATATGTATGCCCTTGGGTTCCACACCCAGAGCACGTCACAACACGCCGAATTAGGGGCATTGTGATGACCTGTACGTCACGTGGTTGGGCAGGCCTACGTGGTAATACATGTTGCGCATCCTGTCCGGTTCCGCTCCGTCCGCCGCTATGCGTGTCGCGTATCATGACATGGCCCCATCCGCTATCTGCCCCTCTGATTGGTCCATCAGGCCGTCTCTGCTCCTGTTATTCCCTAGTGCGCGGTCAACCGAGCCCTAGCCCACGGACGTGCGGTACCTATACCCTAGGTACTCGGTGCACTGCACCCTCAGTGGGTATCTGGGCCTGCTGATTGGCTCAATTTTCGTGTTCCCGCGTGCTCCCGTCCCGCAGGGTGCGTAGCAATTCAAACCACATACTTTCTCTCCCTAATAACAAGAAGATTTGTTGGTTTCCTTCTCCCCTATTCAAGATCAATCACTGGAGTCTGATAGTCTATATATAGAGTCCTCATCAAGCGTTCATACATGAACAAGTTATGCGTAGCTGTCATTTTCTGATTAAGAACCAATTGTAATTGCATAAGATCCGGGCCCGACTACCTTTGCCTCGTGAATGGCAAAGAAGTGACCAGGACATGCTTGGATACCGTGTCCAAATACCAGATGATCTGCCCCAAGAGTGACTGCCTGGTACCTCTACACATTGCCAGGTTGTAGCCGCATTTTGTAGTAACTGTTCTGCGATCTGCAATTTTCTTTCATATATGCAGATTAGGAGATCTCACCGGAGGCCATTGAATTCATCTGAGTTCCCCAGTTAGAACTTTTGAAAATGAATACTATGGATGTCGATGCCGCAAATGGTGCCCTTGGGCAAGATATCGCCTGTTGCGATCATCAACGGCTTCGCCACCTTCCGGATAATGCTGACTGAGAGTGGTAGTCAACACAATTTTGATAGTGAATTGAGAAAAGCCTTACCTAATATAAATTTGTTAAAGCGCTGGGCCTCCTGAATAAAAGAGTCAATCTTTGCTAGCTTTGCGATTGTACTCCGGTTGCACACACAGATTACAGAGAATGTGGAACACGGTGACTGCGGTGGTGAAAAGAGCTGCATGACCAGTGCCAATCTGTGCATTTACCTGGTAGTCAAGAGAGCGTCCTTTACCATCTGGAGATCCGTCAATTACCAGCTGGATCAGGTCTGGAGGGGGCTTGAACTTTGGGTCCTTCATGGCTTCCAGTCGTTCATCAAGAATAGGTCAGAGGAGACTATGTTTGAGTATCTCGTTAGCAATACACATTGTGCAAAAATCTCCTACACCTGGAACTGACTCCTTAGCCTTTGCCCTATGCTTTCTTATAGCACGCAGCTGTGGCATTCTCCATGCCACCAATGCCTGAAGCAATGCGGGGTATTTCCACAGCTCAGGAACGGCACTGAAAGCTCCGCCAGTGCAATCCTTGATAGCTTGGATCTATAGATCTTTAGCACAAGAATAGAGAGTATCAAATATAAGACTCACCCAATCTGGATCCTGGGATAGCCGATCGCCAACAAACACGCGCTGAGAGATTTTAATGATCATTTTGATGATTCATGGAAACAATACCATCTCCATCTATTCTAATAACTGAGAGATTAGCCGTGGTCCTTCAATACCAAGACAGGATTTTAGAACAACAGACCCTCACAGAGCCCAATTTCTTCCAGAACGGCAGTCAATGCCCTGTCTTGCACTATCTCTTAGACTTGGTTGAGAAGATGTCCAACACCTTGACAAATCAGAGTTGCAGTCGCCTTCTCATGGGCAGTGACCCCGGTGAAATCGCCAACAAAAAAGTCATGCGGCCCTTGTTGACTAAGAGCCGGCTCGGGATTGTCTCTGATGTCCTTCAGGTATTGGCTTGGAAGAATAACAATCTCGTTTGGAAAGTGCTTGATCTTATAAGGTCGGTCGGGATACTTTGCATCATGATCAGCAATCTTTCCTGGTTTTACAGACTCGAAAGTGGCATACCAAGGCCGGTCCGCGCAGCAGAACCTCCTGATGTGTCTCCCCAGATCTCATTTTAACTAATGGTGCCTCAAATTTGGGGGTTTGAAAGTGATTCAAAAAGGAGTTTGGCAGAAAATGAGAGGGCCGCTTCACATAGGTCTTCTTAAAATCCTGGTAGAGCAAGAATATCCCTCCCAGCATGATGGAAGAGAACAACGCAAGCAGAGGATGCTTAGCAGCCTCATGTGCCAAATGAATGATCGAGTCAAATACTATTGCCTGTGACGGCTCAGGCCAGTGTAGATAAATTGATCTTATTGGGTAGCTCTAATACGAGAGAATTGCTTGAAGAAGAGAATATCCCACGAGCGAAGCTCTGAGATATTGTCTATCTTGAATATAAACAGAACAAACAAGAATCATGCACTACTTACTGATATTCACTATAAACTCAGCAGCCTGTATAGTGACTGCGCTGTCACATTACCCCCCCTTTAGAAATGGCTGTCCTCAGCTATTCTGACTTGTCCAGCCTTGTGGTCTGTTATTATCTAGATAATCCTCTAAGAAAGTATCATGCTCTACAGCTGTTAACTATTCTTATAATCTTAATAGAGGCCCAGACTGCTCGGGGTATTGCTAGTAGAAATCCTATAACTATTAGAAAGAGTTTTTGAAATTGCTCGCTGGGTACCAGTTCAAATCCTTATTGTGACTGGTCTATTTAACACGGTAATATAGCTTGTTCTATATCTTCTTAACTGTGAGAACTTTCTCTACCTTCTATTCCACCTGTCTATTAACTTTAATTGGCAATGCCTTATTCTGTAACTGTCCCGGTAACAGGTCTTTGTCCGCCTTTCTGAGCTTATCCAGTAAAAAGACAGGATAGATCTTAATAGAGCTCAGTAAGTCAAGCTTATATATATTATCCACCTTACTGATAATACAGAATTTCCCTGCTGTTTATTAATCTAATTTCTTATTGGGATGCCCTGTATTCCAATGCTTTGTTATAATATATATCCAGTCCCTAACTTCAAAATTAATCTCTCTGCAGTAATAATCTGCCTGCTTCTTCTGGGATCCTTAAGCCCTAATAATATATTGCTTTACCCAGTTCTACACTTCTTCTAGCCGGCGCCCCCACCGGCAAGCTTCTTAGAAGTCAGGATTCTTTAGTATTACAGGGTCTGCAGGGAGTTGCTAATCAAAGAACACTTATAGTTCATAACTGCAATTCACTGTAAAAGAGAATAGACCTGTAGATTTGCTTCTTAATACAGCAGCAGTATGGTCTAGAAGTAATAGTAAGTCAGACTAGTTATTCTAATAGTGATTCATAAATAGTTAGAGACACTAAGTAATATATTGATTAATAATTTTAGTCTAGTTATCTATCTGTAGATATTTACTTGTAGACAGTTTTAGTTTTGTCCCTAGGTGTTAGGCGCACCTTACAGCGCCTGCGGGTGATATAGTAGCACGTGCGGGTCACGTGCTACCCGCTGCGGTAAAATCTTTACCGCACCCCAATGGCTTCAGAAACCAGTGATCAACCTCTGTGTATGGTAGTAGATCGTCCAATAGAAACCCAGTCCTCTGCTCCTGCCACCTGCAGCGCTGTAGCACACTATTCCCCTACTACCTGCAGCTCTCAGAGCTGTAATTAACAATTTTGATCACTCTCTTAGGTTCCCTTATCCCTGAATAGCCTGCTATGGCACTGCAGACACACAGGGCAGTAGCTCCTGCGGGAGACACTGGATTGAATACCCAAAGCCCCAGGGAACCGCATAATCTAATAATCTCAGAATCAATCCCTATAACAATAGCCGCAGCTATAATATCATAACCCTATAGAAACATAACTGCACAAGCAGGGTCAGGAAGTACCTCTCTATTAACAATAAGAATCCCAAGTCCTGCCCTAGAGAAAGAAATACAGTTTATAGAGCAAGAATATTAGCAGATTTAACTAGAGCTGTAAAAGTAGGAACTTAACTGCTTAATTAAGCAAGAAAAGCAAAAGCTATAAGAAGTAATTAAATATATAGAGATAGAACTATTATATTCTAAACCAGAATTAAATAAAGTAAACAGAAATAATATAATATAAGTCTAGAAAGTATAGATATCTTTTCTTTACAGGTCTTCTAGCTAACTAGTAATAAGTGGAGAATACTATAGAAAGAATATAAAAGAATATACTATATTTATAGCCTGTATAAAGAATTACTTTACTATTAATTAATACTATTTTATAAATAATATAATAAAGATTATAGATAGTATCTTCTATCTATCAGTAAATCTTATATACCTGTAGAATTAATATACTAATAAACAGGAATATAACTTTACTTAAGATAAATTCTGTAACTTTCTTCTACAGTAGTTAAATAACTCTGTTAATTTATAGTAGAATATAAACCAGAAATATTATAATATAAAATAATAATTCTACTAAACTATACAGGAATTCACTGTATTTATTATATAATAGAAAATATAACTTCCGGAATCTTATACTAAACTATAATAAAAGAATTATTTTTAGATATAAGTTCTAGAAAAGCTATAACAAGAATTACTAAAATATCTAAATAAGTTTAATAAATATAAAAACTTTATAATATATCTCTAAACTATTAAGGACAGTCTACTATATTATAGGATAAATCAAGAAAAACAGTATACTAACTAATATATATTAATACTATTATTCCTGTAACAGGATTGAAATCTTGGAAGAAGATTATTATTTAATAGAACTTTATTACTAAATCTGAACTATAATTTACAGGAATAGAAGTCTAATATAGATAATAAAATAAGCTATAGAAATAATAAGAGTAGCTTACTAGATAAATATTATTATTATAGATATTTTAGACACTAGAATAGAGATTACTATATAGCTAGATCTGAACTAATAATAACTGTAGCTAATATACTAAAAAACTAGATATCTAAGACTATAATATAGCTACAGTTCTAGAGATTAAAATTAATTAAAAACTAAATAACTTAATAAATATATAGATAAAGCTGTATATACTAGTAGACTAGAAAGAAACTAAAGTATTAATTAATAGTAAAGTCTAAGCAGTTCTGATAAACCAGATATAGATAAAAGAAAACCTATCTATAGTATAGAAAGTATCTAGAAAGATTATAGCACTAGATAGATATAAGATTCCCTTATATAGCAGATACCGGGTTACTATAGATATAGAGGATTACCAGAATATCAGGCAGAAGATAATTTTTACTGTAGATATAGTAGATATAAAGAACTATAATATTATTCTTAGCTATCTATAGCTTTAGAAAGTAAATTCCTTAATTAACTAGTAAGTCTATAATTTTATCTATAGAGATAGCTGCAGCAGTAATCCTATATTAATAGTTTTAAGTATAGAGATAATCTAAGTAGTAGAGAAAGATCTCTTTATCTATATAGTCTATATAAATATCTATAAAGATAAGATTAAGATATAGACTACTAGTATAGTAGCAGTAACCAAAAAAGTAGAGCTAGAGATACTAAAGAAGTACCTAGAATTTTAGGAAATCTTCTCTAAAAAAGAAGCAGGAAAACTATTCCTATATATAGAATATAATTATATAATTAAATTAATTCCTGAAAAATAGCTACTATACCAGCTAATTTACTCTCTCTCTAAAAAAAAGCTTAAAGTACTCTAAGAATATATTATTACTATACTTAAAAAAGAATAGATAAAACTCTTAAAAAGCCTAGTAGGAATATCTATTATATTTATACTAAAGAAAGATAGTAGCCTGTAGCTATATATAGATTACTGTAGATTAAATAAAATTATAATTAAAAACTGCTATCTACTACTGCTAGTTAATAAAATAATAAATTATCTAGTAGAAGCAATAATTTATACTAAGTTAAATCTATAAGATATATATTATTATATTTATATTAAGGCAGGAGATAAGTAGAAAACTACTTTCTATATTTATTATAGCTATTTTAAATATTAGATAATATTTTTTGGCCTAGCTAATATATCTGTAATATTTTAAGTATATATTAATAAGGCTCTTAGTAACCTACTTAATATATACTATATAGTTTATCTAGATAATATCCTTATCTATTTAATATCAGAAGCTTAGCATATATAATATATACAGGCAGTCCTGGAATAACTATAGTAGTATTAGTTATATACTAAACTGAGTAAGTGCAAGTTCTATACTATATATATAAGTTATCTAGGATTTATTATTATACTATAGGATATTGAAATGGAGTCTGAGCAGATAAAAACTATAGACTTATAGTCCAAGCCTACTATAGTACAGGAGATTCTAATATTTACCAGCTTTATAAATTTCTATTACAGATTTATTAAGGAATACTTATGCATAGTACTATCTCTGACAGATCTTATAAGAGATTTAGAAAATAGAAAAAAAGCTAAAAATAAGCTATATAAGTCTATAGAAGATAAAAAAAGTCTCTATTAGTAAAAGTATAATTTTCTAGATAAGAAAATTAAGCTTTCACTAAAGATAAGAGAAGTATTTAAGAAATTAAAAGAAGTCTT